CTTCAGATACAAGCAACAGCTGGTGACAACTCGTATCTGAGTTTCCTTCTCTGGGATCTTTTACTTTCTGTCTCAAAGAAACTTCTCTCTTAAACGTCTCCTCCAGTGTGTGTCGATTCACTGCAGCCTTTACCTGAGTCACCTGAGTGACCTCACTGTGTCCATGGATCCAACCGGTTGTTCTGAATGCAGTTCTGTTCTGACAATTCAAGGGATTATTCCACTGTCTTCCTTTTTGTTGTCTGTGGCCTAGAAAAGTCCTTCTTTGGAGGAACCAAGTGCTCTTGATGTTATGTGACCTGATAGACTGAAAACAGGGGTCCTGGAAGTGCAGCCTCCTGTGCTGCAGGTACTGTTGGTTCTGGTCCATCAGAGCTGCTGAGGGCAGCTGTGGATCCTCCAGCAGGGGGCAGAGCTCAACCTTTGCCCTGCTAGAAGCTTCAAAATCTGCCTCTGTTGTGACTTCCTGGTGCAGTTCTGCTCAGTGTTCCAGTGTCTTGAGACTGGTGGTGCTGGTCTGTTTCTGTCAGACGACGGCAGATTGATCTTCTATCTGCAAGGAAAACGGCAGTCTGGTAGCAGAATATGATGCAGATAAATGACATGCATCTAAATATAACACCTTAATGTGACTGTTGACATCAACCCTCTGAAGTCCAGCAGCAGCTTCTGTCTCGTGTCCTCACTGAGGTTCATGTTTCTGTGCTCCATAAAGTCCTGCAGCTCTGTGGAACCAGAACATGAAGAAGGAGAGAGAACTCAGAGACGTCTTCTGTCAGCAGGACTCAGTTACGACGTGTGTCAGAAAAGTTCCAGGACTGGTGTCACAGAAGACAGATTTCAAATCAAACTGCAAACTACCAGTTTTCCCTTTGCAGTAACCCTCCTGGAGTCCACCACCCTCCTCCAGCCTTCTCTTCATGCCGCCATGCACTCCTGGAAGGATTCTCCAGGATCCTCTCAGCTACGTCCTCACAGACATCTTGATGTCGTCCACGTCTTCTAAACGGGGCTCCTTGATGAGCCCTTGATCTTGGGGAAGAGGAACCAACCCCACGGAGCCAGGTGGGGTGAGTAGGGAGGAGATGTTCTTCTCAGCCAGGAGCTGTGGGATGCTCAGGGCGCTGTGAGCAGGTTGTCATGGTGATGCAGGATGTCTGTAGACGAGCTGGTTGATGGTCTGAAGGAGGACGTCCTGGGGCCTCATTTATCATCAGTGCGTAGAAAAGGTTCTAAATTCTGTCGTACGAATGAAATGTAGAGTTTGATAAAAACAATCTGTATTTATCAAACGTGCGTACGGGGTCGTAGCACATCAGTGCTGATAAATCCTACTGGTTCTTAACCTCCGTACTCGAGCACGTTGCCTTCAGGAACGCCTCCACATCACCATATAGGGCAACAACACGCCTCTTTATAAGCAAGTGAAGATTTATTTTTTCCTCACCTGTCGTCATCATCG